CTTCTTCCTTGCTGATCTTCCAAGGAAACTTTTGGTCTCCAGGCTGCTTCCTCATCCCGCATCCAGGCTTTGGAGAGCTCCTTGATGATTGTGTTGGTCTTGATCTTACCCAACCCACCAATCTAGACGGAAACCAATCAGGAAGGAAAATTTGAATGCATTTGCTCTAAGTAAATTGTGTCCAGGTCTTGGAAAAGACCAACGTTAGCGCTGCAAAAAGCCAAAAACCTGGACAAATCTGGTTTATGGATCTTGTTATACATTTTGCCACTTTGGCTTAATTTTTTAAAGACCTGCTTGCATTTTACTCAAACTGTTCATCAAAATTCATTCCGCAAAGTCTTCTTCAAGTACTCAACTGTGAGTACACATTTCGGTACTCAAAATACTCATCGAAATATTCATTAAAATAATTCACCAGAGGTAAACAAGACTTGTAAAAAGATACTAAACTAATACAAAACCTCAGGATTCATTGAAAACAAATGAATCGACTCATAAAGTAGTACTCAGTAAAAAGTAGTCTACTAAGTCAAAAACACTACTCAACTCATACTCGACTTATCGCAGACTGCTTCACTCATCAAGCAGACTCGACTTAAAAGACCAAAGTTATCAAACAGTACCTCAATCCATTTAAAACTGGTGTTCCAGAGTCCCTAACTTAACTCAACTAAACTCAACTTAAATAGATTCAAGTTTCAAACACAGGCAAAGTTCTTGTATTCATTTTCCATTGATTAGACACTGGAGTCATTCTGAACGACTGCAACACTCAATCTTTGGACGACTTTCATGTGTAGTTGCTCCTCAATATTTCAAACGTCAAACTTAATTCAACTCTTTGGAATAATTTAGTTCGGCACTTCTCTGAATGCTAGTCTGAAACGCATGTAGTTGTCAAAAGGTACACAACTCATCAAAATGCAGAAAACTTGAGCTATCCACGCATACTCAGGTCTGACCCTGATCACCCTCATAAGCCTACCTGCATGAGTGCCTGTGCCCCGGTTCTTAGCGTAGGGCTTGCTACCATGGCTGGGAATGCCTTGATCTTCTGAACATCCACCCATTTCTCCTGAGAGTCTGTCAGAAGCTCCATCCAATGTGTACTCTGCTCACCCTGTATGAAAGGCGGGACAAAATGTTTCCCCTTAAAGCTTAGCATCTATATTTACTAAAGAAATTAATACTCTACTAAAATAATAATTAAAAATTGCCCAGTCTGCCTACCGTCAGTATTATAGCACAGAGACAGCTTTACTTAAGATAAGAAATGATTTATTAATGGCTATGGATGGACAACACGTTTCTTTGTTAGTTTTCATTGATTTGAGTGCCGCCTTTGACACAATTAGACCACAACATTTTACTAAATACCCTCCAGAGTAAATTTGGTATTTATGGTACTGCTCTTAAATGGTTTCATTCTTACTTGTCTGGTAGATCCCAACGACTGTTTCTATAAATGGTAATCTCTCTCAGCAATTTAACATTGATTATGGAGTTCCACAAGGCTCTTGTCTTGGGCCTTTGTTATTTATTTTGTATACAAGCCCACTGTTTGACATCATTAAGACCCATCTTCCACAGCATCATTGTTATGCTGATGATGACCCAGCTGTATATTTTTTAGCACTGACAATTCAGAAAATCAAAGATCGTCCTTAGCAGCTATGGAGAGCTGTATTCAGGATTTACGTAACTGGTTGTTGGCTAATGGTTTAATGCTGAATGACAGCTAGTACAACTGAGTTTATGATTATTGGGACCCACAAACAGTTGTCTAAAGTTAACCTTGATTCCATTCATGTTGGTGATTGTATGGTTACACCTGCACCCATTACTCGTAACTTAGGCTCATGGTTTGATGTACATTGTTAGTCAATACAGAGGAAAATTAGTGAACTTACATGTATATATGGAAATCTTTCCCATTCCGGAATCGGACTTTAAGCGCATTTTATTTTGTATACTTTCAGTCACTGCTCAGTTCATTGAATTTGAAAAATGATTGTAGGTGATCAGGGAAAATATGGTAATCCTTACTTTTAGGACACCTCTATTTTGTACGAGTTCTGTTCAAAACTGACTTTTGCAGATGACTGTCCAGTACCAAAGTGACTTTGGCAGGCTAAAGAAGTCTTTTTTCTTCAGACAAACTCATGTTAGTTATAATTTTGAAAGCAATTTCAAAGAAAATGTGACTTTCCTACCTTTTTTTGCAGTTTGCCATCTCAATTGCTTTTTAAATTTATTTTCTGTTTGTCATCGTCGTCTTTAACCCCTCATAAATCAAAACCCTGCCCTCTTTCTACAAAATCAAACCTGCTGATATTCAAGAGGTGTCATTACCAAATTGTCAAATGTGTCAATAAATATCAGAATGTCACTTTTGAGTGTCATTTAGTCAGCTGTTTTGGTGAGTCTTTCAACCTTAGGCGTATATAGGAATGGGGTCCTAAAAAAAGTAAGGATTTATACCGAAAATATTTAGTTGGTGTTTTTTTTCCAATTTGGTACAACTATAGAATGTAATATTGGCTCTTATCTGCTTTTTTTTAGCAAATGTACTCTTCAAATGCTCTGCCTATAATGAATTGACTAATTGAAGTGTGAATAAAAAGTCTAGACGTGATGACTTACATGTACGTTATCGATCGAGTTGTCTGCTACATATACATCAGCCTACTGCATGCGGACAATAATGGGATATCATCAAACAACAGGCGGCGCCCTTCACAATTAACGGTGTGAAAAGTGACACTCTCATAACCCGTAAATTCCCGGTCGCATTAATTCCTTCCTAACGAAACCATTTCCCAATTCCTAAGCAAACAGAAAAACGGATTACGAAACCCACTTCCCTAATTCCTAAGCAAAAAGAAAAATGGATAACGAAACCAATTCCTATTTCCTAAGCAAAAAGAAAAACGGATAACTACGGAAGCCGGATAGTGCCAGTCCCTAAGGGATGAATATATTTTTTGCAAACACGTCAGAATTTTTTTGTACATCGCCGCCACTTAATATGCGGCGGCCGCAACTTAATATGTGGCGGCCGCAACTTATTATGTGGCGGCCGCAACTTATTATTTCGCGGCCGCAACTTATTATGTGGCGGCCGCAACTTATTATGTGGCGGCCGCAACTTATTATGTGGCGGCCGCAACTTATTATGTCGCGGCCGCAACTTATTATGTGGCGGCCGCAACTTATTATGTGGCGGCCGCAACTTATTATGTGGCGGCCGCAACTTAATATGTGGCGGCCGCAACTTATTATGTGGCGGCCGCAACTTATTATGTGGCGGCCGCAACTTATTATGTGGCGGCCGCAACTTATTATGTGGCGGCCGCAACTTATTATGTGGCGGCCGCAACTTAATATGTGGCGGCCGCAACTTATTATGTGGCGGCCGCAACTTATTATGTGGCGGCCGCAACTTATTATGTGGCGGCCGCAACTTATTATGTGGCGGCCGCAACTTATTATGTGGCGGCCGCAACTTATTATGTGGCGGCCGCAACTTATTATGTGGCGGCCGCAACTTATTATGTCGCGGCCGCAACTTATTATGTCGCGGCCGCAACTTATTATGTGGCGGCCGCAACTTATTATGTGGCGGCCGCAACTTATTATGAGGCGGCCGCAACTTATTATGTGGCGGCCGCAACTTATTATGTGGCGGCCGCAACTTATTATGTGGCGGCCGCAACTTATTATCTGGCGGCCGCAACTTATTATGTGGCGGCCGCAACTTATTATGTCGCGGCCGCAACTTAATAACTGGCGGCCGCAACTTAATATCTGGCGGCCGCAACTTAATATGTGGCGGCCGCAACTTAATAACTGGCGGCCGCAACTTAATAACTGGCGGCCGCCACTTAATCATCTGAATTATCTGACGCTATTAGTCAGACCAAAGACTCGAAGCTTTGGAGAAGGAAATCTTCACAGCTGAGCTCGCTGTTCCCGCTTTAATTTTTGGTTTGCTTAGTTCTAATAACGCCAGGTAATGAAAAATCCCTCCCTATAGGCCAATATTGCCAAAGCTTTTGGCAGATGAGATGTATTGCTTTTAATAGCCTTTAGTACCGTAGTGTTATCATGCATAATGCATGAGGCCCCTGATTGTCTCGACTCTGCCTGTGATTATGACAAAGCGGCTGATTTTTGCTACTAAACACTAATATTTTCACGGTATGGTGTTCAAAATGTGTATGTAGTATACATGTTGTATTATTTTGCTCACACAGATAAGCTATGGATCAAGATATTATAGCCACGTATTTCCATTTGGGTCTCAGCTACACGGAAATTTTGTATGCGCTTGCTCTAAACCACCGAATCGTCATAAGTCTTAGGACACTGAAAAGACGCTTGCGTCAGCAACGTCTGTTTCGACGCAAACACTTCACTGACATTCTGGAAGTCGCTGACTTCATTTTTGATCAGATCAATGAAAGTGGAATTATGCATGGATACAGATGGATGCATTTGAAATGTCTGCAAGCTGGCAAAGTCGTTCAACGAGACACGGTTTATGCCGTTATGAAGATCCTAGATCCTGATGGTCTGCAACTTCGGAGAAGAGGCAGGCTCATAAGAAGGGAATACTTCGCAAGGGGACCCAACTACTTGTGGCACCTGGACTCCTATGACAAACTTAAGACGTATGGGTTGCGCATCAATGGGTGCATTGATGGGTTTTCGCGTCAGATAGTTTGGCTAAACGTATATCGCACGAGCAGCGATCCTAAGGTAATTGCTGGATATTACATGGAAGCAGTGAGCGCTATGGAGGGATGTCCAAGTATGATCAGAGGAGACATGGGAACCGAGAACGGGCGTGTGGCGATGATGCAAGAGTTCTTGTCGGAGCAGAATAGCTTCATATATGGGAAAAGTACTCACAATCAGCGCATAGAGGCTTTTTGGTGTATGCTGCGTAAAGAATGCACACAATTTTGGATTGATGCTCTGAGCTGAAAACATTGAAGGATGTTGGCGATTTCACAGGAGACTCTCTAGACACAGGTCTTGTCCAATTCTGCTTTATGAGTTTGGTCCAGGTGTGTTGAATTATTTCAATTTGCTGTTCGTCATCCTCATGCATGTATGCCGAAATTAGGTCAATGTGGAAAAATCTAATATGGTGCAAAGCCTGTCTCAACTGTGAGGACGGTGTAAAGTAATGCCGTGCACTTTACCCTTTCCATATGACTGGATATCCCTCTCTCTCTCTCAAAAAGGAAAATAAATATAGAAAACCCACTTAATACCACTAAATGGAGTTCCAAAATTATTGATTGTCATTGTGAAAGTCTTAAGTATGTGTATGGCTGCTGCAATTTTGACTACTTTATAATTATAATTCTAATGTATAATTCAATCAAAAGTTATGATGCTCGAACATACCGAATGTGAGTAAAAGATGTGATATAGCCTAAATTTCTTATTTGTCATTTTTTTTGTAATAGAATGATCTTGATAGGATGTCGTCTGTCTGGAACTGCCATCGCATACGACGTTCAAAGAATCAGAACGTTCCCAACGGAAGACCTGTAGTTCTCTTCTCCATGCCAGAATTGTTTGGCCGACGTGACTACTTGAAGCCAGTTGACCAGGAACATATCGAAGCCTGCTGCACCGAGTGTACCTTCAGGGATGGCCTTCCGTGTGACGAGGAGTTATTTGAACTCTTCATTATTTACATGACTGAACATTCTTTGGAACATCCTGGCAATGTAGAGCAGGCACTGCAGCTTTACCACGCGCTGCGTGATGCCATTCGACAGGATCTGGAACAGTAATATATAGACCTATATAGTTTCTCACAATACTGTCAGTGTCGGTGATACGTGCTGCCCAGAAACGACTTGTGGATCAGTAATGAGATGAATTATTGATGTTATATGAAAACCTCCAATTTGTAAAAAAGAAGCACATGTCACGAAGGAGACATCAATTACAAAAAGGCCATTAATGAACCTCTTAAAGTTGAAATTGGTGTACTAAGTTGTCAGTTTTCTGAAATCAAGTACATGGAATTATTGAAGTAATTGAGTAGGATAAACAGCCAACGTCAAGGATAAACAGCCAACGTCAAAAAAAATAGCCGATATCCCACTCAGCCCAGCCAGACGTTATTAAAATATCAAGCAACAGGTTTCATGTGTGTTGGTGGGGGTGAGGGACCTTCTGCTGAGCAACCCCAGCAAATAAGGCGAAGTACACCATGTCTGCACCCCTGGACCCATTCTTAGAACATAGACTCGAATGCCATGAATGACGTACAGACAAATCTATGTAGATTACACTACTAATTACATTCTTACCTATTTCTTAGTTTTGTTTATGTATAAGTCTATTTCCAGGTTTTTTTTTTTTATATATTTGATTGCAGCACTTTTGGAAAACTGCATTGTTCAAAGAATGTTCAAACTAACCACAAATGAATATACAGAGTGAAACCAACATTTCTAATGGAAATTTTCTGTGATTCCCAGTTTAATTGCCTGGCAAAAACTACTTTTATTACAATCCACATCACTTTTTAATTAAAAACGATTAAATAAACACTTCACTTTTTTTATAATTTCAACGAGCAAAACCAAAACGCTATATCAAAACTTCAACAATATCTAACACGAGCAACTGCCTGCAAATGTAACACCTCAGTCACCAATATAATTATGCAATGAAATTTGGGACAAATATAATCTAAATGTGTGAGCAAAACGTCTTTGGAAAATCGAAAAGGTACGATTTGCTTTTCCTGTTGAATTTGTATTTCAACGGAACTAATTTACATTTTGGGCGAGTTACCTTTGCACAATTTGTACAGGACGCGGAATATGCATCGCCAAATTAAAGTGCTTTATAATTAGGATTTTGTGACGTATGTAAAATCTACAACTAAATCTCGTATGAACTTATTTATGAGGGACACATCATTCAAAGGAAACCTTTGCATCGTAGGAAAGAAGCAATATCAACAAAATATGTTTTGTGGGATGGAGAAAAAATGAAAAAAAATTATAACAGTAGTGCCAGCCTTTGGGATTAGCGAATCTTATACAGTAACAAAAAAATCATTTCAAAATACTACAACTACAGAACACCACATAAAAGAATGTATATCCCATGAACAGAATTTGGGATTTAAAAAGGTTATTTCACTACAATACAAATGGGAAATGTCACTGTTTATGAAGAATACTTGTCCTCGTTAAAACACATAAAGAACAAAATGGCAACGCAATTGAAAAATACAACTGTTACTGAAGGATATTTCTCTTAAAACATAAAAGAACAAAATGGCAATGCAAATTAAAAATATAACTGTTACTGAAGGATAGGCCTACTTAAAAAAGAACCAAAATTATGGCAATACAACTCTGACTGAAGGTAATACTGAAGGTTACTTCTCCTCAACCAAAATGGCAGCGCAAATGAAAAAATACAACTGTTACTGCAGGATACATCTCCTCATAATACATCATGAACAAAATGGCAGCGCAAATGAAAAAAATACAACTGTTACTGATGGATACTTCTCATCATAATACATAATGAACAAAATGGCAGCGCAAATGAAAAAAATACAACTGTTACTGATGGATACTTCTCATCATAATAGATCATGAACAAAATGGCAGCGCAAATGAAAAAAAATACAACTGTTACTGATGGATACTTCTCATCATAATAGATCATGAACAAAAATTATGGCAATGTAACTGTTACTGAAGGTTATACTGAAGGTTACTTCTCCTCATGATGATACAAAAAGAACAAAATGACTTTTCGTTTCAAGCACGTACATAATACAATATACAAATCATGTATAACATAAAGCACACTTCCAAATCACCTAATTAACTACTACTGCAGTGAAACAAGAGTGCATGTATGGGGATTGATATAGGTTGTCTGTTAATGAAATAGAAGAAGGGTGACACGGCTTTTAGATGATGTCCATTTGCCAGTATCTGTTGCGAAGGAGGGTGGTGAATTCTGACTTCAATGTGATATAAGGCAGTGCCGCATACGAGCGCGGAATGTTCAGAACACACCCACATGTGTGTGCTGTGGGGCAGCGAATCTCTGACTCGGTGAACCTGGTGGTGATCTTCTCTCTGACCGCGAGGTCGGACCCTGTGCAAAATCGCAAGAACAGGCCGAGCAGATTCTGATCCATCTCCCTCACCAGTCTCTTAACTGAGGAATTTAAGGCGCCTTCTTCTGTGTTCATTGGTTTGGGAAATTCCAATATGTTCAATACCTTCCTGGTTGATGGCTTCAGGTTGTCATAAATCTGACGGAGCTGGAGTCGTGAGAGGCCGAGAGATTTCAGCTTTGGTCGCCAACACAGCGCCACAAATAGTGGTACTTGAAGCATCTCCTTATTTGCCATCTCGGTAAGTGATTTCTCGATGTTTTCGTCTGTAAGGTTTCGTCTGGCATCGTGTCGTTCCATGAAATCCATCAAGTCATCTGCATCGACAGATGAAACACTCCTCATTGCATCTTCAAGCAGCAATCGGTCGACATCCGGGAGCAACTGCATGAACGCGTCTAGTGGGTCATCGGGTGTCCCAAAAAATGCCAGTTGCATGAAAGGCAGAGCAAGCCTGACCGGCAAAATTCCCTCCTGTCTGAATGCTAAGCGGATTACTTCTCCCACTGCCGACCAATGGACCTTGGTCATGTCATGGCGTAATACCGGTACTGCTACCGAGTTGCCGATTGTGTACTGCAAATAAAAGCTGTCGAAAAACTCAGTAAGTGCATCCCTCAAGACTCCTCCGTTGTCTTCAGCCATCTCTGTGCTTCCATCTGACTTCAGCATCTTCACTTCGAAGGTTGTTCCTCTCAGGTTGACGTTCTCCTCTTTCGAGAAAAATGTTACCATTTCTTGACAAACGTTGCCACGGTGCACTTTTATTTCTTTTACCAATGGCTGTGTTGCATTTAAGTCCAGTTCCACTGCTGCTGGGAAGGGGCCAAACTGAATGATACCGGAGTCGTCGTCGTTTAATCGAGCCAGTTGGTCCTCTTGAATGAATTCGTCAGGAATGTTATAGGTTGGTGGAGTGAGATTCACAGCATCCGAGTCCAACGTTGCAGCAAATACTGACTGGACATCTAATTCAACGCTGTCTTCAGCAGCTTCGGACAACAGTGGGTTGTTGGAGTCATCAGCAGTCTGCACGATGACTTCATTGTCAACTGTCATCTCATCACCTTGATTCAACGGACGGTATCGCTCCGAGTTAGGTTGCCCATGAGAAATGTGGTGGCCGTCACTTGTGCTCGGTACCTCCTCTTGGCTCGAATCAATGGCTGTTGGCATGAGGTTTTCCTCTCCTCTCCGACGTCTGTGAGCAAACATATCAGGTAGATCTTCCAGGCTGTCTTCTGAAGGGTCACTTGCTGACTTATCTTCATCCAGGTCTACTGATTTGGCCAGGAGATAGCATCGTACGTGTTTTAGACCAAGTCTGTCGATCAAATGTTGAATAGTCTCGTTCTCGTGAACAGGTTGGCTACCATGCACATCTGTGGAGACATCTAACTGGAAGTCCCCGAGCGAACCATGACAGTTTTTTCCATCTTGAAAAAACAAGGGGCAAAGGGTATGTAGCAATTTTCTTTTGGGTGTATTTTTGTCGACAGTAATGTGACGTATCCCCCCACCCATGGGGGCGCGTACCTGCTTGTACCTGGACTCTGTAGCCTCGTAAACAGAGAACCCGACTATTAGGGACCTTGAACTTGTTGATGCCTCTTTCGCTTTCTTGCCTCTCGGGCCCCTCTTTGTTTCTGCTGATTTCTGCGTGCTGTTTGACTGACCGCCGTCACTTGGCCCGGGGGCAGAACTCTCATATTCTTCCTCGCTGTCACTTACAAGTCTGGCTGTTTTTTTCCCTGACTTTCCTGCCATTCGGGACCTCAGCTCAAGCTCTCGAGCAGTGTAAACTTCCTCTTCTGAGTTTGAGTTTCACTGTTCTCCTTCCGGACGAAAGCCTTAACGACAACTCGGTCACCCTTACGAGGAATGTACTCGCTGAGTTCTTCATCCGTCATTTCAATAATGACATCCTCGTCAATCTGAAACATACAAACAAACAAACAAACAAAAAGTAAAAACAAGAATCTTTTCTAGGCATTGATATACTCCGACTAGAAGGACTGACAAGGAAGACTTAGTCCCGTGACTTAAGAAAAAAAATGTGACATGCGGAATTCAAGCACAAATTGTGTGCTGTGGGTCCAAAATAATCGACAGCAGTTGGGTGTCAGGTTTTGGTGGACTAAATTGAGGTCAGGTCATAGTCAAAGTTTGCGCAAACAAAATTAATTTTGCAAACTCGCATTCTCAAATTTGTATCCTTGTGGAGACATTGCTTTGTTTGTTCTCGTGTACAAATAGAAAATAGTGTGGAAATCGAATTTCAAAATGCTCCTGTTCTAACCAGAATCACTCTCCTGGGTTGAAACTTCGACCCAATGTCCCTTTAATATATAAAATACTTCAATTTGCGACGGATCAACACACTTGAAAATCCCTAGTTTGTAAGTAAAATCAAAATAATCTTTTTCGTGAAATCCTGGTGGATACCTAGTCACCTTTAGAAATTTCCTTGTGTCGACCTTTACAATCCTTTGTTCCATATTATACCCGGGTCTCCACTAGGATACAAATTTCAGGTCACGAAAATCAAAATAAGGGCCGGAAGCCGAAAGAGGTTTACAACTTAAACTTGGTAAAGAAAAAGGAAACCTAGCTGTCAATAATTACAAGAGCAAAACAATGTGCAATGAAGGCCTACAGCTACCTAGGCCAAGTGCCTCAATTTGACTGATGACACGTACATTTACAAGGCACATCCAACATGCCTGGTACAAAACGAATTTAAGATGTTAATGTTAGTAACATACAGTATGGGCTTGATCTCACCTGACGAGGCT